TGCTCCGTGGTGAGGGCTACCAGCAAACCCTGGAGGTGATGCACTGCGTGGTTGGGCAGGTGGCTATTAAATAGGAGCTTGGTAAGCTCGGTTTGGCCTCCTTCAATGCAGGGTATCTCTTCTCCTCTCTGTAATGATCTCTTTTCCTCAAAAACCCCTCTGGTGTAGGTACCTTCTGCAAAGCCTTTTCGTCTGGCTTGTGCATGTGGTAATTCAGTTTATAATTGCCTGCATCAGCCGCTTTGGGAAATCTTCCACCTTTGTGCTACCGTGGCTGCAGCAACAGCAGCAGGTTTCTCACAAACTGCTTATGCAGAGAAGGCTTAGGTGCGGAGCCCAAGTATTAAGAAAGATGCAGTGTGTTTTTGCTCCACTTAGAATTGGTATTTGAGCAGTGTGAGCTTGTCTATATGAATGTTTTATGGGAAGCACAGTGTTTTAGCAAATTTGCATTACAAAGAGAGCATGTAAGGTACCGGGTTAATGAGTCTGAGGCAGTAAAGTGCTTAGAATAAACACTGCATTTGACTGGTTTTTTCCTACAAAGTATATTAATTTGCAGACACATTTAAGCTGAAATCCGTTTTGCAAATGCCTTCTTTCTTATTATTCATGATAAAAGTGCTTTATTTTGAGATCCCGGTTTCAGAGGTGGAGATCAGGTAGATCGGCCTGTCCATTCTCCTGGCCGTGCACCATCCCAGCATCCTCTCCATGCTCCACGAGCTCTTTCCGATTCTGCAGCTCCTCAAAACAGGGCACCGTTTCCTTTAGGAGACTGCCACAGTCAAACACCCTGGACTGCATTCTCAAGAAATACGTTCTTTGGTGTAAAATTTCCCTTTGCAATTTGTTTTTATGTCCCTTTTGTACCACTTCAAATAATTTGTTGTCTTTCGTGGTGTTGCTGTCCTTCTGGTGTTTGCTGGCCGTCACCCTGTCCTTCCCACGGCACGTTGCTAGGCTGAGCACCACCAGTTCTTATCTTCTTGCCACATAAATCAAACATCATAAACTTCATTTTAGCCAGGGCTAAAAGTGAGGATGGTCTGATAATAACAGAGATAAAGGTAAAATACAGGGTATAAGTTACCGACTGACCTTATATACCTTCTCCTTTGTAATCTAGTAGTGTTTGAGACCCGATTTAGGGTTTTTTTGAATCAAAATTCACGTGCAGCCATTCAGGGCAGTGGTTTGGAGTGCTGTGTGTGAAGTGGGTGGTAACAGGCTCCTGCACGTCCCCATGAAAGTGAGCGGCTTTTGCAGTGAGAAATTGCCGTGCGTGTACCATCCTGTGCTTGGTTGGCCACCCAGCCAACTGCACTCACTGCTCGTGTCGCAGAGAACACACGAGAAAGGTCTCGTGCTTGTTCATAATTAATCGTTTGCTCATTTGCTGCTCCTCGTATTTATGCCTCCGTTACTGCTGCAGGCATAATGTGACATGAACCGAGGTTGGAAGACGTTGCCATTGATTTCTGTGGGTGTTAAGGACCCCATGCAGACAGTGTTCATTGATCCAACAGTTACCATCCCGGTGTACCCGCACTTTTCAACTTCTTACTTGAAGTAAGGAGGAGGATGTGAAAAGTGGCTAAAGGTGAAGTTTTATGAGACAAGGGTGGGCTCGTCCTCCAGGCTCCTACGCTTTTCCTCCCAATTTCATCCCCCTCATCCTACCAGCTGCCAGTTCCCACTTCATGTTTCACCCTCCCTCTGTGAGCAGACTCAGCTCCCAAACCCAGCAAGGAAAAATACACTCATGCACGACCCCCCCTTTTATTTTTTGGCGGCAGCAGACGACGTGTGCCGGCAGCGTTGCGGGCAGGGAAGTTTGCAGAGAAGGGGCATTTCTAGGAGGGTCTGTGCTGCCGTGGAAGGATGCTTCAGGGCCCGCAGGCCGCAGACGGCTGGAGAGCGGCTGTGTGCGCCAAGGAGCGTTGTTTGCCCCATCCAGGATCCCAGCTGGGGTTGCTGCATGGCGGGGGCAGGCTCACCCCATCGGTGGGTGGGTGTTGACCCTCTGTGCGTGCTGCTTGCTTCCTCCAGCACCCGCCTTTCTTCCTCTGCTTTTGGCTGAGGACATCACTGCCAACTGTTTGAAAATATGTACGTGTGTACATGTGTATAAAAGTATACAAAGAGATATAATCAGTAATTAGAGAGAACATTATGAAGGCCTATTAAATCATAATTACTGCGTACATGAGAAATAAAGCTGCTGAGTTGAGCGCTAATTGTGTTGCATATGCAGAGTGCAGTTGGTCATCAGTGTAAGCGTGTGTGCCCCCATCCTGATGGCTGCTTTTCCA